TCCTTTGCCGTTCTAACATTTGCACAGTGGGGTTTATTTACTAAAGCTGGTTCACTCAGAATCTGTGCATGGTAGCTAGTCAGCTTCTAACCTCAGCTTGTTCAATTACGCTTTAGCAATAAAACCTGGAAGCTGATTGGTTTCTATGCAGAAGTGAAGCTGCTTTAGTAAATCCCAGTGTGTCTATTTATGACTCGACAGGCCAATATGCACCAGAATTTGACTCCACTGCCCAGTTTAGGAGTTGCCATTATTCAACTGTGCCAGCACAGAGCAAGAATTGCAAAGAGAACAGCATTTGAAGGAAATTCCAATCCAGCTTTTATAGTGCTAGCATATATCAAAATGTGTTCATTAATAGACTTAAATAATCCAAAGTCCAATTTGCAGCTCTTTATCCTTTATTTTCCATCGTAAGGCCTCATGCACACTAGAGAAGCTAAAAACTGCTTAAAATTGCTGGACAAAAACACGAATGTTTTAGCGGTTTTTGCCGGCGTTAAGCCGCATGTAGCCTAGTGTGTAAGCTACGTTTAGTAGCTTCAGTGTCAAAAAACTGGACCGTTGTTCAGGAGAGGGTTGGGAAGCCAGCCGCTCTGTCCTTAACAACAACAACAGCAACGGATCAGTCATCAGCTGTCTGCAGGGTTCCCCACTGACAGCTGAATGGGAAAAAAAAAAAACATTGCCGCAATTTACAAATGTGAAATAAACAGTATGGGGTTCCCCCCATCCTTCTTTTTTTTTTTTTTCCCCCAACTTGCCAGGCTGCATGCTTGGATAAAGGTCTGGTACGTATTTTGGGGGTCCCCATGACATAAATCCTTTTTTTTTTTTTTTTTTTTTTTTTTTTTTTTTTACCTTTAAATTTTGGCGTGGGGTTCCCCTTAAAATCCTTACCAGACCCAGAGGGCCTGGCATGGATTGGAGTGGACCCCAAGCCGTTTTTTCAGGTGATTTTTTTTTTTTCTTTATTGCCGACAATGTTTTTTTCTTTTTTCATTCAGCTGTCCGTGGGGAACCCTGCTAACAGTTGATGACTCATCCATTGTTAAGGACAGGGTGCTGGTTTCCCGACCCTTTCCTTAACCAGTGAAAAAAAAAAAAATCTGCTAAACGCTGGGCATCTGCGTTTTAGGAGAGTTTAGTAGAGTTTAGGAGCTGTCGGCATTTTTTCTGCCGAAAAGCTGCTGCTCCTGGATGCACTGGCCCTTGTTTTTTGTTTTTTTTTTTCCTGCTGGTAAACGCTACTGCTACTAAAAGTTTCGAAACATCTGTGTGCATGGACACATAGGATAACATGGAGGGCCGTTTAGAAGCTGTAAAAAAAAAAAAAAGTGGCTGCAAAAAGAGAGGCCTAATACTTTCATCAGTAAAATAGTTTCAGGTACAGGAAGTGTAAAACCGCATAATATAAACGTGTTTAAGTCATATCCCCAGTTGACCAGGAATAAGAAGCAGATGACATGCATTCATTTATAGACATCACCTACTTTAACCAGCTAACAATACCTAGGAGACACAACAATGTTACCAGCACATTCCCTCTAACGCAAAAAGACAGATTTTTGGTGCAAGCAGTCTGGGGATTGAATTATTGCTCTCACTCTGACTTGCGCAGTTTTACCCTGTGTGGTGTGACCATCACTTACATATGCGTGCAGGACCTACAAGCACATTCAGGGGGATAAGGGTGCTCCTTCTTTTTTTTTTTTTTTTTTTTTTTTCTTCCCCCTACACGGTCTCTTTAACATTTCTTGTGATAGCATGTGCAGTGACCGGTACGGTTTAATGAGCGATTTGGATTCTATTAGACTCCAGATCCGTTTTACTGGCTATCTTACTTGCTGGCAACAACCTAATTAACAGTTTTATACATACAGAGATGATCAAGGATTCACTGTTCTGATCACTTGTACAAGAAACTGCATTACTGCCACTAAAGAATATCTGGATCCTGAAATCGCCACCACTTTCCAAAGACATAAACATGTACGTCGGTCGGAAAGTGGTTAAATAAAGGTCACAACAAATGCAGAAAAAGCATTTGTGACCCTCAGTAATGTCACATTTGTGAACAAAGAAGCCCAACTTCCTAACAGTTATAATACAAAAATTAATAGATTATAAAAATCTGTTTTTGTTTTTTAATGGCTTTTCAATTTGTCTGTGTACCTTTCACCCTAACTTATGCTAGTCATATCCTAAGCACGTTTTGGGGCAAATCAGGTAATCTGGCAAGCCATACCCTTTTTTTTTTTTTTTTTTTTTTTTTTATGTGTCCAAAGCATGCTGGGAAATGACTCAATTGTCAGATTAGGCATTATCTTGCTGAAACAGTGCCATAACCGTGATCTTTGTTTGACACACTGGGATCATTGCAGCAGGCTTTACTAAATGCAATCAAGACAGTGTCTGAAGGTGGCTTAAGATGAGCTACAATGGCAATTCCTCAGGGCGCAGTCCAGCCGCCCATTGGCATGCCTATCAGCCAGCCTTTGTCAAGTCTAGCACATTCTGCTTGCCCAGGCTTTTATATAACTAATTGAATGAAAAGTCCTAGCCTGGCACTCTTGGAGGGAAGAATGTAGCAGTCCGTGTTCTAAAATCCATCAGGTCAGTGGTCCTAAAGAAAGTTGGCTGGGGTGTCTTCTGCTGCATTTGACCAGATCTGTCTTTTGTTGTCTTATGTCTTAATACTTGGTGGGAAAACCATAGCACCAGAAATAGCTCATATATAGTATTTTGAAATTCCAGATAGGTCACCCCTCCCCCCCCTCTTCTTCTTTTTTGGATATTATCTTGAGTCTGACCAAAAGAGAACATTTTATTCATTCTTAGACTTAAAGGTTGACATTTGAGTTGTAGGTTTATCACTATTATTAACAGTCTTTATTTTTCTGAGCCTCATAAATTTTAAAACCTGTCGATGCTGGCAGTTATCCAGTTGGTTTTCTAAATCCTTTAGCAGGCTTTGTTCTGTGATGATAGCATTGCTGCATTGTCATGTGGAAAAAGTAGATGGATATGTACAAACAAATGACCTTTAGGCTTGGATCACACTGGATGCGATTTAAAATCGTGCGTTTTCTGAAGATTACCCAACGATTTCTTGCGTTTTCCATTGCGTTTTGCAGTGCAATTGCTATTGTAGTCTATCTGAAATTGAAACAGAAACAAACTGCAGAAAACGTACTACAAGAACTACTTTTGAAATCGCGCTGCAGCAAATCGCGTATGTTAAGACACTGACAGTCACATTCATTAGATCCGATTTCAGGTATGATCTAAATTCCCAAATTGCATCTGAAAACGCGGCATTGTGAACCAGCCCTTAGACCTCGTTTGCACCGATGTGGCTTGTCATGCAATTTATCAAATCGCATGACAAGTCGCACCCTATTCGCAATGGAACCGAGTTGCACCGATTTTGAAAGTAGTCCCTGCATTACTTTTGGTGATTTCAGGTGTGACTTGCATTAACTTATCTGCATGAAGTTCACGGATGTCTTACAAGTCGCACCTAAGGTCGCACTGACATGCGACTTTGAAATAGTACAACTTCAAGAGAAGTCACATGATTTCAAAGTCATATTCAGTGTGATCCAGGGCTTAAAGTGGAACTAAACCCTTGTGTTCAGTTGAGAACACAAGCAAATGTGACCGTTGTTCACAGCATTCCTTAAATGTAACTGTTTTGGGAAGCAGTTAAATCGCTTTTTTAGTTCTGCTTTAAAGCCGAACTTAACTCAGCGATTTAGCATTTTCCCAGAACCGTTAAAAATTTCTTCACAAATGACAACTGCATAAAAACGTGCAGTTGTTGTTCACAGCATGCCTTACATTTTAAATGGTTGAAACTGAAAGCATTAGTCTGAGCTGTTTTTACGTCAATGAAGGAGGATCTTGCAAATAGTCTTTCTGCAGTTTTGTACACTTTGTACAAGAATAGTGTTTTTGTACACTTTGACGAGAATAGTTTCACACTGCACAAGAGAATAAACTCTTAACAATCAAAATTGTGCCGTGATACCGACAAGGCAGGAATGATGCACAGCTAGAGGAATTCAAATGTAACTGAATGGCATTGTCCAAAAGGTGTCGTCATAACCAGCAGCAGAAAGTAGATATTTTAACAAAGGCCCAGGAATACTTGTGTTACCAGCAGTCATGTTAAGAGGCTAGGGGAATGCTAAAGCGCTAGAATGTGCCATTTAACATAAGGGATGCCATACATTTTAAAGCTCTGCTAGTGTTCTTGTTCTCTGTACAGTTCTACCCAAATTCCTGAACAAAATTTGCACGGCGTTCCTGAAATTCTTCTTAACAGAAGACCATACCAGCTCAACAAAACCTTTACATGATTGAGTATATATCTAGCTTCTGATCTGCTGTAAATGATGAGGTGGCATTGTTTCTTCTACACCAGGACATATGAGATATGCCCTACACTGTGTTGGCCCACTTCTTTAGGTTTCTGCTAGTGAGCAGCATTTTTGAACATTGCAGTTGTCAAGGATCTTGGTGGTTGTCCTTGTAGTAGAACATAGCGCTCTAAGGCCGCATTCACATTAAAGTAATGCAAAACATGCAAACAATGCATGTTGTGCGTGCGGTGCCACTCATTAATGGCACCCCAAACACTGCAAGCAAGATGCACGTTATTGCACTCACAATGTGCGGCTAAAAAATGTGCAAAGCTAAAAAATACTTGTGCTTGTTTGTCTTGCTGGAAATGAATGGGCAGCCCTATTCGCAAAGTGCGTACAAGCGACTCGCTACAATAATGTGAATGGGAGACCAATGCACAACTGGCCACACAGTCCTATGCCTAGCCATTTTAGGTATATTCCCAAGAACCCAGTAATCCTATTGTCTGGGTGGAAATGTATACATTTTTTCTAGAGTTATTTTTTTGCAATCTTTTTATTTATTTTTTTTAAATTGAGTGCCCTGACACTATTTAGGGCTATGTAAATATTTATATTTCTCTTCTTATAGCACAGCCACTCAAAGAGTCCCTGTTGCATCTCCATCAGCTCATAATATCAGCAGTGCTGCCCCGAGAGAGGACCAACTTCCCTCGTGGAGTATCAAGTAGAAGCACTTTTCACGCTGGTCAACTTCGCCAGGCTCGGGACCAGCAAAACATGCAGTTTGGAGGTGTAACACCAGCTTCTCCTTCTGGCAATAGCCAGGGGCGGCGTGGAGCCACTGGAAGCATATTCAGCAAATTTACATCCAAATTTGTACGAAGGTAAGTAAGGAAAATCTATATTTAAACGTGATGCTAGTAAAAGTAGACAGGCATAGTAATTAACTTCTAGTAGGAATAAATATATAATTCACTGATAGTCAAATACATGCTATTGGTGTTAGATATTAAACAGTTGTTTATAGAATAGGTTTAGGGAAATCTAACCCAAATGTATAACTGTTTGTGCTAGTTTTATATTAATCCCTAAAGCAGACCAGCAGTGAAGGGGATAGAATTCAGTAATGTCATATTTAGACATAATTTAAAATTTTTCCCTGCCCCCTCACTTATCTGTTTTTTTGTTTTTTTTTTTTTTTCTGTTTTCCTCCCATTCGTCTATCTAGAAATCTGTCTTTCAGATTTCCCAGAAGGTAGGCATGTATTCCCCACATCTCACTGTTCTCAACTCCCAGCACTGCTGCCTTTTCTCTGTTGTCCTTCCAAACTGCTGAATTTACTTGTTAATGTTCTGTGCCTCTCACAAGGGCAGTGTGTGCATAATTGTGGCTCTCTATGACAAATGAGTTCGGATCAGAACCTTATGATAAAATGGTGACTGGGTGTCACACGTTTGCATTTAGCATTATATATATTAGGTTCTGAACTGTCTCAAATCTCTGCTTGTTTCTTCCTGGGTGTAGGCTTTCATTTTCAGGTCTGTTACTGCACCTTACTACTCTCCTTTCCATGCCGATAGTATTATAGACTTCTCCATTGTGATAACCTTTGTACACTGCAGTTAGAATTACGCTTTTTGTTTGTGTTTGTCCTGACTTTTCTGTGCTAAATCTTGTCAGTTTACTGATATACTATGCATTGGGACTTTTTTCTAAAAAGTGGAGCAAAGGATAATGGAAATATTGACAATTCCAATCTTTCAGCAGTTTTTTTTTATTTTAATTTTTTTTTGGCTACTGCCAGTGCATTAGTGATTTAAAACCAAAACTTATTTTAATATTTAGATAGAATGTAGAAAGGTTGGCACCTCTGTTAAGTTTTTACTTCTGTCTGTGGAGTGATTCACTCTCTATATACTGTTTGTTCTGTTGACCATTGTCTCCAGTACAAAAATTTTTGGGGAAATCCAAAGTTTTTGAGTTGCCACAGTAACAGGACAGAGGGCAAGTCTTCCAATAAGGTAGCTTGTTCTAATGAAAAGGGATTTCCCTTCATTTGGAGGTTCTGTATCCAAATCAAAAAAAAAAGTTTTGGTTTTACATTCACTTTAAACCAAACAAATTCGTATTGATGGTGTATCAACGCTTCCATTGTTCCATTTTTTTTTTTTTTTATTTTTTTTAGCTTAATTGTGCTTTTTGAATCTGAACTACAATGTTGACTGATTTGTCATCTATCTAAAAGTTGTAAAATTTACAGAAAATATTTCTTTAAACCTCACAATTGTAGGTTTATGATGACATAAAGTACACAAATTCATCATGGCTTTTTAGGGGTTTTTTTTTTTTTTTTTTTTTTTTTTTGGAGGTGGGGAGTGCAACATCAAGTTGCATGTGTAATCATAACACAGAACAGCAATATTATTTAGATATGCCTTTCAGAATAACCCCTGCAGTGTCCTAAGGAATTTTTCCAGATGGCCCTTGACATTTCTTGACATCTTATCAAGGAATGTAGAGTGGGTCTTGTGTTTTCCCCCCCCCCTGCACTTTCATACACACTCTTGCAGGTGCTTCTCACCCTTCGCCTCTGACACCTTGTCACCTTGTCATCTGCCATCTGGACATAACTTGGATCATCCTACGTGTGACTATAGGAGACATCTACATTATACATCACCTGCTTTCTGCATTGAAGAGATTAAAGGAGCTGTATCAGCTGCTTCAGCCTGTGCCACCTCTAATACATTGCCAAAGTCTGGAGTTTGTAAACCATAATCTGTAAGGTTGATTTATAAATTGTCATAATCTAACTGCATTACATTATAGTCTCTTTTAAAATTGAAAGTTTAATTAAAATTGGAAAAATATGGTGGTTTGTAGGGTTATTACTGCAATCTTCCAGAAAATCAAAAGTGTACTACAGAATGATAATCTAAGTGTTTTAGTCCAAATATGCATTATATGTAATTGAGCCATAATACAAGGAGGACCTGCCTTCATTTTTCGACCTGGTTAGTAGTGGAGCCCTTGCACTCATTAAGAAATGCATTTGAGATCAGTGAGGGAAAATTTTCGAACACACAATATGAGGTTCACACATGGCATACTCATGCTTCATGTTGTAAGTGATCATGATGAATTTGTCTCGCTCTGACTGTTAGCTGTTAAGTGTGTGTGTGTGTGTGTGTGTGTGTGTGTGTGTGTGTGTGTGTGTGTGTGTGTGTGTGTGTGTAATCTACCACCTCCAATGTCAGATAAGTTTCTTGCAGCTTTCTGTCCTGTCTGCCTTGTTACCTTACCTGCTGATACAGGTGTCTGAAAATTCACACCCCTTCACTGCTGGGGCTCTAGGGCTTAACAGTGTGCATGCGTTTTTTTTTTTCTCTTTTTTTTCTTTTTTTATGCAGATCAGTTCAGTTATTTGTATTTTTGTTTGTGCGTTATATGCGTTATAATGTGCATGCAAGTGTAGTGTGTGGTTTATTTTTGTACGCAGTAATGTTTACACAATTTATACTTTGACCACTTAGCTGGTTGACTTTTTTAAAGTGCATCTCCAGCCAAAACCTTTGTGTTTTGGATACCATAGAGAGGAGTTAGAGCTTGCAATCGCAAAGTCCTCTGTGGCCGTGCTAGGAAAATTACCCTTCACTTCCTGTTCTGGTAAAAAAAGTATTCACAGAAAGGCAATGTCTCCAAGAGGGTCAACTGCAATAAAACCTCACATTTTTATGGTCATCTGTGTCCCTCTTGGAGGTTTGTCTTCACTTCTTTCCAGGTGAAGGTGTCACTGAGGAAGTGAGGGAAATCACCCCCTGCCAGACATCGGACAACAATGAACCTCAGAGGTTCTATGCTTTTGTTTTAATAAAATAAAAGTTTTGGCTGGAGTTAACTTTTGTTACAATGCAAGGTTCACAAATACTGTCCAGGCCTCCTCCTGTTTAACAATCTTATTTTAGTATGCCAAAAACGTACAAGTAAAGAAAAAAAGAGGTAGAATTAGATTTGATTTACTCTCCTCCGCTCCCCCCTCGCTTTCCACTTCACAGAGCGTGCCGTCACCATTGTTCCAGAAAGATCCCTGGGGAATGCAGAGCAGGTGAAATATTATTAGAAGACACTTCAATCCATTGTGAAAGTCTTCTCCCCATATTCCAGCCTCTCTGTATCCCTCAGGATCTAGCCGGAGGGATTGTGACGTCACCCTGACTACAAGCAAAAGAAAAAGGTAAATCCTTTTTTTTTTTAATTTTTTTATTTTTTTTTTTTTACTGCTACGATTATGCACCTACAAACAGCACGTGATTTTTAAAGGGGGTGGGGGGACCCAGACAGTATAAATGGACTTTGCATTTCCCTGCAAGTTCGTTTTGTTTTTCTGTAGTTTCTATATTTGCTGGTACCGAATATATTTTGTAGTCTAAATCGCTTTATTTTCATTATGAAAGGAAAGGAAAAAAAAAATTAAATGGATGACGTGCTGCCACTAGTGTGGACCGGGCATGTTTTTGTATGCCTCTATTAGTCATTCTGAGGCACAGTTCACATCTATGCATCCTAGTGTGGTACAGTTTTTATTATTTATTTTTATTTTTTCTGACTTCTTGCATTATAGGTTAGGTTTATGGCAGATGTATCTTCCATGGCTTGAAATGCTACCATGTGTATAATGAATCAAAAATGCACCACATCAAGCGACGAATAGTGTGATTTAGTCCTGTACTGGCTAATGGAACATGTGCGCAATTGATTATTTCAGTTATTCACTGTACATGCATAGCACTAGGCTGGGTGCGATCTTGCCAGCCTTCCAGTTCGATGTCCAGATGAGGTCTTTTAGTGTACATACAAATGCATATTATCCATAAATTCGAAAAAAATTAAATAAAAAAACTCTTCTATTTTTTTTGAGACCCAACCAAATTAGTTTAGTTTATGCTGGCACGTTTTATTAATCTATCCCACTGTAAACTCAGTGAAACGAATTTTAGGCAGAGTACACAGATTCTATTTTGAGAGAACATGATTACAGCAATAAAATGAGAAAAAAAAAAAAGAATTCATTAAAAAGTAGACCGCCAGTAGTAGACTCTGTTAACACAGTCTTAAACATCTTACTGTGCCTATAGAAGGATTCCTTAGAAATTGCAGCCTGTTGTAGAGTTGCACATTTCCTCTTTGTCAAACCCCAGATAATTGAACTGCGGTAATAATCAACGGGATCCTGTCTTTCAGGACCAAGCTTTGATTAAACACGTACAATCACTGCCTTACTTTTCTGTTGAGGCCCTAAAATAAGTCATGAAACAAATTTCCAGAATGGCTCTCCGTTTTGTCCATAGATGCAGAATCTTATGCTGAAGCTGTCTGTAAAAGATGCCTTGCTCATATGCCCTTTTGAAGGAGGATGCCTCTTTGGAGAGGCACTTCTTCCACAGCAGAAGGCTGAAAAATCCCTCTTCAGGGACTTCTACCTCCTCAAAATGCAAAGTGCTATAACAGTTTCCTCAAGCTTCATATTCCATGCCAAAATTCAGCCCTTCCTTTTGGTGCAAGATTCTGAACACAGTCTACCAAGTTTGCAACAAAGCTCTCTCCACATTGATCTGGATGCCTCACTCCTAAGAGTGGGTATACATCTGTTTGCATTCCTCTGGGTCATGGACATCCCAGAACTGTGGGTTCAGATAGTGGTTTCAAAGGGGTACAGAATAGAGTTCCAAACTCTAGCTCCTCATCGTTTGCTTCTCTCAAACCATCCAAAGTATACCAAAGGACACTCAGATATACAAGCTGCCCTGATCCATCTTTTATCGCAGACATTAGTTCTGATCTCTCTGGAAGATGGGCTCAAAGTATTCTATTCAAGCTCGTTCA